AATGCCGAATAACAGAGGTTTTACTGTAGTAGGATTTCTATCACATAGGAAATTCCAGTTTTCAGCTGACATCAGGCCAGAATATCAAAATATTTTTTAATGGGAGGACTTCTCAATATTTTTTACTTCATGTTGATATTTTTATCGAAACAGTTCACACACACACACACACATAGGTGAATTGAACTGAATCAAAACATTTCATCTGGGTAAGTCTCATATGCCATGGTATCTCACTGGCATGGTTTAGGTGTTTTAGATCCTCATTCTTATCTAAGGGCCAGGCTCTCTAGCTAGATTCATGTCTCATCTATATTGCTCACGCTGAAGACTTCAGTTCAATCCACCCAAATGTTTGTGTCTGTGTTACCATGACCCAAAACAAATTTTCTTGAAAGAAAATAGTTTGCCTGATAAAAAAAAATGATTTTCCTGAGAGAAAATTGCAAAATTTTAGGGAAAAAATGTGATTTTCTAGAAACTTCATTTTCTGGTAAATACTGATTTTTAGAAGAAAAAATTCAACACACTGTACTTAAAACAAACAGTGCTACAAATAGCTGATATTGGAAATGTACACATCGCTTGGTGCTGAGCACTGTTGTTTTTGTGCCCTGACTGGACAAGTGAACAACTAGCCACCCACTGCATCCCTACAATGATGCATTTGCAGTGTGCTGTACAATCTGAAATGTGGCTTTGGGAAAAGCTGACGTTTCAAATTTGATTCTTGGAAGTGTTTGCTCTTTTAAACCTGACTTGTTTATGGAAAGCAAAAACAATTGAGGGGCAACCAATCTGGTTTCTAATTTGAATTAATATTCACAGATCTTTTTTTTAAGATTCTCAGCTCAACTTTTATTATATTTAAGGATTTCTTCAAAGAAAAATGACAAAGGACATTCTCCTCAGTAGTAACCCCACTGCCATGTTAAATATTTTCTCTTTTTCCTTTTCCTCATTCTTGATTGCTACACTGCAATTGCCTAACTATTTCATAAACTTTCAACTGCTTTTCCATTTACTCCCCACCTACGGTTATGATTTTCTTACTGTAGCATTGCAGTGCTTGCTATGGAAAATAGCCCATAGCCTTTGCTGTCAAGCAACAGAAAAGACTTCTTAAAGCAGGTCCAGCAGGTCCACACACCCAGCCAGACCCCTGCTTCTTCACAGAGCCTGAGGAACACGTTTTGTCTGGCACTAGTGGTTGCACTGAACTTAACAAGAATTCTCCATGGGTCGTGACCCAAAAGTGGGTCACAAGAATATATGAAAAGGTCACATACAAACTTTAAGAATGGATTCTCCTTCCCAGGAGAAAAATGTGGGAAACTGGCTTTTCTCTTGCAACCTGGCAGAGATCGGGGGGGAAGGGGGGCTGGGGCCTGAGGGCAGTGGGTTGGGAGTGAGGGCACTGGGTCAGGACTAACCACTGATGTTTACAAATGGGCCCTGATACAAAAAAGGTAGTGGAAGAACCACTAGTTTAAGTTATGCACTTGTTTAAGTTCCTTCTTGACCCCTTGCTGAAGGGCCCAAGTTAATACCTTGTTAATGCCTCATTAATGCCTAGTAAAATTAGAGGAAGGTTTGCTTTCTTTAGGCTTGCTGAATTTGGTTTGAGCAAAGTAATGAACTACAATAATTGTTAGAGCAAGGAAGCTGTCTTTAAAAAAAAATACATTGTTTTTATTATTTCTCATCAGGCTGATGGGTAGCATAAAGGTATCTCACCAACAGTAACTAACTTTGCATGTTTTGGTAAGAATTTTTTATAAGGTTCAGATCCACAAAGGTAGTACACAGGTGCCTAGCTCCTAGGCAGATGCCTAATGCCTTTGAAGACTAGGCCTCAATGCTTCCATTCTGTTTTCCTTTGAGCCTGCAGTTTCCCACGCAGAGACTTCATGGGAACATTTGAATTCCACTGAGAGATAATCAAATATTAATTCCCCTTAATTATATAGTAACTTGCAAGTATTTACAGGTTCATGCCAATTATTGTGTAACTACCTGCATTACTAAACAACATAAATAGTGATGCAAAATGAAAGGGGTGATCTTCAACTTATAGTAATGATAGAGGGAGGATCAGATTTCTGTTCCCAGTTGTGGTGGTGAAAAGGCAGTTCTTGCACCAGAGCTAGTAAGGTTACATCTAAGTCACAGAAAAGAGAATTTGGCCCAGGCTGATCCTGCAGCTGCTTCTGTGTGAACAAACCCTGTGCCCAGGAGATGGGCTCTGCATAGGCCCAGGAGATTGCCCGTGTGAAGCCAGGGGCAGGATCAATATCTGATTTAAGCAGTCAGCAGTCACTACCAAAGCACAGAGATTTGATGTGGGATTTGTCCCTGTGGGATTTCTGCTTTCTTAAAGGTAGTAAGTGAAGTTAGTACTTTGGACAGGTGCAGCCCTGAGAGCATGGCAGATAGAAGCCCCGAGCATATTCACAGAGTGGGGACCAATTGAATACTGGCAGTGGCTCCTGCCCAACAGCTTCTGCCTAGCTGTGCTCTGCCAGGACTCAGGGATGAGAGCAGAGATCAGTCTCTGTGACCTGTTCAGCTCTTGTTCTTTCTGCGTAGACAGAGACTACAAACACCAGCAAGTGCCACTGCCTGGGGAGAGTGGAGTGGTTATGAGGTGGGAACGAGGTCTAAAGCAAGCAGGACCTCTCATCTAGACCTGCCAACAGCCCTCAGCTGGCCACAGAGTGTCTGTTACTGGCTGTATTTGATGGGCTGGAAGGGAGCAGTGCTCAGTGCATTGTCCACAAGGGATGGACACACATGTGTACCCACCCCTGCCTTTCCCCAAAATACTGGACAGCACCACTTCATTCTGGTCTTCATTCTGGTTGTCAACTAAAGCCCAGAGCCAGATTACAGCCTGTCTGGGCCCTATGGGACAAGCAGCAGCAGCAGCAGCGGGACTTTCTATTGGTTCAACCACTGCTCTAACAGAGGGCTACCCACCCTAGGTCACAGGGGAATGAGCAATGGAGGCAGGGCCTTACTCCATTCACTTCCAACCAGAGTAGTCCTAGACAGGCCATGGGAACTTGCCTGCCCTCCCATGGTTTGCCAACATAAGGAACATGTGGGAATGAAAGTTCCTTCAGCTTGGTGAGTTCTGCATCCTCATATGAACTCAGCATCTCACTCCCCATGACTCAATAGGAGCCACAAACATTTGCACCTCAGCAAATCAGGCTCTCAACCATGTGGAAGCTGCAGGGCTGACTCTTTCTAAGAGAAAACCAGTGTGGTGCTGAGCATTCACAGCTCCGAAGAGGGCTGTGGTTTCAGGGGAGCCAATGGAATGCAGTGCCTCAAAAATCAGGCACAAGGTTTCTCAAACCATGGCACTAGCATCAGTGGGTTTGTCTGACAGTGCTGCTGTAAGTGACTGACTGCTGCAGACCTAGGGGCAGTGATTATGACGTTCAGGCCAGGCCTGCAGCTGGTACAAACTGGCACTAGCTGTATTGCCCTTAAAGGAGCTTTCTGCTCTTCCCCTGTGGAGGATCTGGCTCTCGTGATTGTAATGTTACATAAGGATTTTCCTTTAAGGTTCAATGATTTTTTTTGGTTATCGCTCCCTCCCAGACACACACTTCCACACTTCACTTTGGGGATATTGTCTCCTATGTACTATAACTTCTCTTTCCCCTCTCTAGGCTGCTTGGCTGGGCATCAACATTTTCCTGTTTGTGTATTATTTCCTGATGTTTGACATGGATGAGAAGTTCTACTACACCAGAGAGATCCTTGGGGTAAGGATCTCTCTTCTCTTCCTCTCCTTTCTTCTTTATCTCTTCCTTCCTTTCCCCCTGCTGAGCACTTCAAAATCAGCTGGGAGTTTGTTTCCCACCCCAGGGGCAGGAGACCTTCCCCCTCACAGTCCCACTTCAGGCTGGAGATAGGCCACACCCTGCCTTACCCTCCAGATAAGGCAAACAGGGAAGCTATTCCTAGGATCCCATCGTAGCCAGTCTGCTGCCATGCACAGGAGTACAACCCTCAGGGGCAGAGCACCTACTGCAGTTGAAACAGGAGAGAACAGGAAAATCCACCTTTACCTTAGATGTATGCAGAGCCTTAGGCCCCAGGATTACAGCCCAATGCAGACAGTTGTGTGCAGAGACAGCAGTTACTTGTGGGCACCCAATGCATGAAGCTGGTTCTGTCCTTGGATGCCCTCACTCACTTTTTGTCCTTTTCCAGTCAGCCCTGGCATGGGCCCGGGCATCTGCAAAATGCCTGAACTTCAACAGCATGCTGATCCTGTTACCAGTGTGTCGCAACCTGCTCTCCTTCCTGAGAGGCACCTGTTTGGTGAGTGACGGGGCTTCCCTACCCTGGCTCCTTGCCCTGCAAGCACACCTGTTTCCAAGGGAAGAAGTGGCTGGGGTAAATCCTAGCCTTGCAAGCACTCATTGCCATTCAGATCCAGATCCAAGCCCACACATGAGATCACAGTTTTATAGTTTCATAGTTGGTAAGGTGGAAGGGACCTGAGCAGATCATCAAGTCCGACCCCCTGCCACAGGCAGGAAACAATGCTGGGGTCGAATGACCCCAGCAAGGTGTCTATCTAGCTTCCTTTTGAAGACCCCCCAGGGTAGAAGCGAGGACCACTTCCCTTGGAAGTTGGTTCCAGATCCTAGCCGCCCTGACTGTGAAGCAGTGCCTCCTGTTATCTAGCCTGAATCTGCTCTCCATCAACTTACGGCCGTTATTCCTTGTTACTTCTGGTAGTGCTCAGGGGAACAGGGACTCTCCCATTGCCTGCTGGTCCCCCTTGTAGACTGCCACCAGATCTCCTCTCAGTCTTCTCTTGTGGAGGCTGAACAGGTTCAGATCCCTTAGCCTCTCCTCGTGGGGCCTGCCTTGCTGCCCCCGATCATGTGACTGGCCCTCCTCTGGACCCTCTCAATGCTGGCCACATCCCTCCTGAAGTGAGGTGCCCAGAACTGGATGCAGTACTCCAACTGCAGCCTGACTACTGTGACATAGAGGGAGAGGATCACCTTCTTGGACCTGCTCGTGATGCACTTACGGATGCATGACAAGGTGCGGTTAGCCTTCCTGATCGTGTCCCCACATTGTCGGCCCATATTCATCTTGGAGTCAGTAATGTACTGGCAGCCCTCTTTGGTGCAAACAGCAGGGGAACTCTACCTCCCAAGGATGCCAGGGGAGAAGGAAAGGGAAGAGGCCAGTGCTCCCAGCTTCCGCACAAGCTCCAGCATCTACTTGATTTACTCACTGCCTCTCCCAGTGCTGCTTCTTCCCTCTGGATAGACTAGAGCAGTGATTCTCTACTATTTTTGTATCAGGACCCATCTGTAATATCGATAGCCAGTGCTGACCCAGTGCCCCTCGCTCCCAACTGGCTGCCCCTTGCCCCTAGGCCCCAGCCCTCCGCCTCCATGTGGGCAGGGGGTGGGTGTATGGGGAAGGAGGGGTGTGTGGGGGGATATGGGGGCCTCAAGCAGCCCCTTGCAGGCTGGAACTCTGCCAGCCCTGGAAGGAAAAAGCCACAGTTCCCTATGTTTTTCTCTTTTAAAGGAGAATCCATTTTTTAAATTTGTTGATCCATTTTTAAAGTTTGCTCATGACATTTCATATATCCTTGCAACCCACTTTTGGGTTTAGAAATGCTGAACTTGAGGCTTTGTGCCCCTGGCCCTCTCTTCCTAAAACTTTAGCAAACCATGGTTCAACAGGGCCTGTTTGTAGCAGGCCTCCTAGCCCTTAAGCTCCAGCCGCCTTTTCCTTAGTTTAGTAAGGTCTCACATTCTAACCAACTGTCCCTCTCCCTTCCTGGCAGACAGTACCAGGCCTGGCTGGGCTGCAAAAAACATGATGAGCAAGGAGCTTCGAGGCCCTTGCAGATGGCACCAGGGGTTTGAAGGCAGGTTCCACAATAAGGGGACAACTCAGTGGCATACATACCTAAGCGGCGAGACAGGGCACACTGGCTAGGGCAGCTGTCTGGTGACTGGGGACTGATTTTCATACACAACCAGGGGAATTCTGGTTCCTATGACTATTCGGTATATAACACAGGTAGACAGGATGTGACAGCTCCATCACACTTGTTAAGAACGCTGTGTGTAACCCTGTATACCTCCCTTGGTAGCCACACCCATCAGCAGTGGGCAGTGACTCCATCTGTCATGTTACACTTAGTGTACTGTTGCACTACACTTTGTGAGTCCTGTGTGCAGCAAGCTAGGCATGGAACTGGGGGTGCTGTTCCCTGCTGTGAACTAATGGGCACCCCAGCACTTCACCCCTGTCCACTCCCAACCAATCATTAGCCATATACCTAAGCCTACGGGACCTCTGCCCCTGATCTGCCTCTGGCCTAGGAGGTTCCTGCCCACAGCCTGAGAGCAGCTCCAGCAGGGAGCAATCAGGGGCAGCGGACAGGCCCACTCTTCAGAGGGAAGGAACAGCTGTATCTGATCCCTCCTGTTCTGTGCATAGTTTTATAGTTTCATAGTTGGTAGTCAGAAGGGACCTGAGCAGATCATCAAGCCCGACCCCGTCATGGCAGGAAAGAGTACTGGCAAGGTGTTCATCCAGCCTTCTCTTAAAGACCCCCAGGATAGGAGGCAGCACCACTTCTCTTGGAAGTTGGTTCCAGATCCTAGCCGCCCTGACAGTGAAGTAGCGCCTCCTGATGTCTAGTCTGAATCTACAATCTGCCAGCTTGTGACCATTATTTCTAGTCACTCCTGGTAGTGCTCGGGGGAACAGGGACTCCCCCAGTGTCTGCTGGTCCCCCCTGACTAGTTTGTAAATGGCCACTAGATCCCCCTCAGCCTTCTCTTGTGGAGGCTGAACAGGTTCAGGTCCCTTAGCCTCTCCTCATAGGGCCTGCCCTGCTGACCCCTGATCATGTGGGTGGCCCTCCTCTGGACCCTCTCCATGTTGTCCACATTCCTCCTGAAGTGCGGTGCCCAGAACTGGATGCAGTACTCCAACTGTGCCCTGACCAGTGCCACACAGAGGGGGAGGATCACCTCCTTGGACCTGCTCGAGATGCATCTGTGGATGCATGACAGGGTACGGTTGGCCTTCCTGACCGTGTCCCCACATTGGCGGCCCATGTTCATTTTGGCATCAATAATGACTCCAAGATCCTTTTCTGCCTCTGCACTGACAAGAAAGGAGTTCCCCAACCTGTAGGTATGCTGCTGGTTCTTCCTCCTCAGGTGCAGTACCTTGCACTTGTCAGTGTTGAAACCCATCCTGTTCTCATCCGCCCACTGCTGTAACCGGTTTAGGTCCAATTGCAGCCTATTCCTCCCTTCTAGCATGCCCACTTCCCCCCACATCTTAGTGTCGTCTGCGAATTTGAACAGAGTGCTTTTTACCCCCTCGTCCAAGTCGCTGATGAAGATGTTGAACAGTGCGGGCCTGAGGACTGAGCCCTGGGGGACTCCACTGCCCACATCCCTCCAGGTCGAATAAGTCCCGTCCACCACCACTCTCTGGGTGCAGCCCTCTAGCCAGTTAGTGACCCATTTGACTGTGTAGGTGTCAACGCCACGGTCCCCTAGTTTTTTAATGAAAATGGGGTGAGAGACAGTGGCGAAGGCCTTCCTAAAGTCCAGAAAGACTACATCTACTGCTAAACCTGCGTCTAAGGATTTTGTGACCTGGTCATAGAAGGCCACCAGGTTGGTCTGACAGGCCCTGCCTCTAATGAACCCATGTTGGTTGCCCCTAAGCATAACCTCCCCTGCTGGTCCCTCATGGACATGTGCCAGGATAATTCTCTCAAAAAGCTTACCCAGGATCAAGGTAAGACTGACTGGCCTATAGTTTCCTGGGTCGTCCTTCCTCCCTTTTTTGAAAATGGGAACCACATTGGCCCTTTTCCAGTCCTCTGGCACCACGCCAGTTTACCACAAGTGCTTGTAAAGCTGTGCCAGGGGTCCCGCAATGACCTCTGCTAATTCCCTCAGCACTCTGGGTTGGAGATCGTCAGGACCTGCTGATTTAAATATGTCCAGTCCCTCCAGAAGTTCCCTGACTAGGTCCTCACTGACCCTAGGCCTCCCCTGGGGCCTACGGGGGTCCTGGTGGCAGGGGTGATCCAGTCCCTGCTAAGAAAAATGGAGGCAAAGAAATTGTTAAATAGGTTAGCTTTGTCGTCTGGTGAGACGATCAGATTTCCTAGTGTCTTGCAGAGGACTCACGTTACCCAGTACTTTCTTTTTACCCCATGTATTTAAAAAAGAACTTCTTGTTGTCCTTGATCTGGGTAACTAGTCCCAGTTCCATCTCTGCCTTGGCCTTCCTGACCGCCCCCCTGCAGCCCTGAGCAATCGAGGTATAGTCCTCTCTGGTGACGGCCCCTCCCTTCCATTGGGTGTACGCCTCCTTTTTAGCTAGGAGACGTTCCTGTATGCTATTGGTGAGCCATGGGGGCTTTTGCACCCTCTTGCCCCCTTTGATCCGTGTTGGGATTACCTCCCTTTGGGCTTGGAGGATCGTCTCCTTAAGGAACGACCACTCTTCTTGGATACCCACCTCCCCTCCCCTCCGGGACCTCAGAGCCTCCCCGACTATTCTCTTTATCTCATTGAAATCCACCCTCCTGAAGTCCAGGGCTGCTGCCTTGCTGCAGGCCTCTGCTACCTTGTGCTGGATGGTGAATTCCAGTAGGCGATGATCGCTGTCGCCCAGGTGGTTGAGCACCTGCAGACCCCTCACCAGGTCATCGCCCATGGCCAGGACCAGATCCAACAAGGCGTCTCCCCTGGTGGGGTTGTGCACCTCCTGGGTTAGATGGAGGTCCTGTATCTCGGCTAGGAACCTACGTGAGCGATCAGACCTAGCTGACTGCTCTTCCCAGAAGATGTCTGGAAAGTTCAGGTCACCCATGATGACCACGTCCCTTGACCTAACTGCCTCCATGAGCCGACTTAAGAATTCCCGGTCTAGCTCTTCCCCTTGGTTGGGTGGTCTGTAGTAGACCCCCACCGTTAAGCCCCTTTCCCCTCGACTTCCTTGTATTCTAACCCAGAGCATTTCAGTGTGCCCCTCCTCTGACCCCATGCTACTCATTGAGGATGTGTATTTCTCCTTGACGTAGAGCACCACACCCCCACCTTTCTTCCCTCTCCTATCCCTCCTGTACAGCCTATAGCCCTTGATATTCACTGCCCAGTCGTACTTTGGGTCCCACCACATTTCGGTGAGCCCCACTATGTCTGGGTTGGTTAAGTGCCTTCTGTTTGTTCCCCACACTACGAGCATTAATGTAGAGGCATCTGAGGCCTCCTGAAGATGCAGCACTGCCCCGCTAATCTCAGTACTACCCAGGCCCCTGTTGCTTACCCAGGTATTTGTTCTGCTTGTCGTCAGTCTAGGCTGGGCTGTTCTTGTGGGTGATGCTTGGTTTAGTGGCCCAATGCTTCCTCTGCCCTCGTCTTCCCCTTCCCCCAACGAGCCTAGTTTAATGCCCGCCGGAGGATCCGCCAACCTAAAAGAGAACACACGCTTACCTTTGGGGAAAGGTGAAGCCCATCCCACCCGAGCATGTCTCTCGTCCTGATGTGTGGATCGTTGTCTAGGAAGCCGAAGCCCACCTCGAGACACCACTCCCGAAGCCGCAAGTTGACCTCTCTGATGCAGGTCTCTTGTCGTCTTCCACGTCCGCTCACTGGTAGGACAGAAGAGAATACCACCTGTGCCCCTATCTCCTTCAGCATGCCCCCCAGAGCGTGGTAGTCTGTCATCAGGTGATCAGGGCTTTTCCTGGCCACATCATTAGTACCCACATGGATTAGGACCATGGGGTAGTAATCGGTGAGTCGGATCATGGCCTGGATCATCCCCATCATGTCCTGAATCTTTGCTCCGGGCAGGCAGTAGACGTCATGTGTCAAGGGGTCCTGGCGACAGATGGGACCCTCTGTACCTCTCAGGACGGAGTTGCCTATGATGATCACTCAATGTTTCTTCCTCTGGGTCTGCTTAGCTTCTTCAGCCTGTTCAGAGTGTGGAGTGCCTCCTCCCCGGAGGTTTCCTCCTCTTCTTCCTTCTCCTGCAGTGTCGCCAGGGCCTCGTACCTGTTCTCCAGCCAGACTGGAGGAACTGGTACTGCTTTGCTGCGAGCAGCCCTGGTTCTGGAGGTGACCATCTGCCACTCTGCTGTGGAGGGCACCTCCCGGAGTGCTTCTCGCTTGGATGCATGGCCCTGCAGGGAGAGAAAATACCCATCAATTTCATCCTCCACCTCCCTGATTCCCCTCAGCCTGCTAACCTCCTCCTGGAGCTCCCTCACCCATGCCTCCAGGGCCCTAAGACAGGCGCCTGCAGCACAGGTGTGGGGACCCCCATTCCCTGCCCCACCCGGTCCTGCTGGGCATCCCCCACAGGCTGGGGGGCAGGGAGACGCCAGCTCCCCCATGGGCTCTGTCTGGGTGGAGGCCTCAGACAAGCCCCAGGTAGGCTGCGCCCCCCGGGCAGGGGCCCTAGCAACACTTTGCGTCAACACCATAAGTTGCTATTTAATTATATTTTTGTGTGGTGCCTTCGCCCTGCCCTTGCTGGAGTCCCCCCCCTGGCCCTTCCTGCCTGCCCGCTGTCGAGCTCTATTCGCGTGGCGCAGCGCGGCTCCCTACTGGCTCAGCTAAAAGGGAGCCGGGGGGCTTCCCCTCCGGATCCGCCTCAGCTGTGCTGGCTCCCTCTGCCCCACTTACCTTTGGGGGATCAGCTGTTGCTGCCTGCACTGCTGGCTCCACTACTGCTGCGTCCGCCTCGGGTCAGGTAAGGGGCACACTTGTGCGGGGATGCACATGTGCCCAGTTCCCTCCTCTCCTCCCGGCTCCTGAGTGCCAGGGGCTACGGCTTTTAAATGCAAAATGGGCCCATCTGTTCCCCACATGCTCCAGTGAGCACGAGAACAGTTCTCTCCCTCCACAGACCACATGGACCCAGAAACATCTCTGGAGTGACATCTTCCTTATAGAGGGACATGGAAATCATAGAGGGGCATGGAGCTGCAGCAATGAAGTTTCCTTGCAGGCAGCGCCCTGGGCTGGCGGGGGCCAGCTCTTTTCTGCTTGCCCCCGGGGTCTGTTCCCTGGAAGCATCACTGTTCTCACTGACCACCTCCCCTCCCCCCACCCCCAGTTGTGCAGGCGGACCATGAGGAAGCAGCTGGATCACAACCTCACCTTCCATAAGCTGGTGGCCTACATGCTTGCCCTGATGACAGGTAACTTGAGTTCACACGCTGCCACTGCTGGGTGTGGACCACTTCCAGAGGCAGGAGGCTGCAGCACTAACCAGCAGATGCAACAGCTGGTCCAGTCTGTCTCTGAGCACAGGCTGAGCTTGGTCTCCTCTTGGAGAACTTGGCCTGGATTTAGTACACCAGAGAGATGGGGCCATTCTGCCTCTTGCACCGTGGACTCTGGGTGACGGTCTCCCAGAGAGGTTTCATTTTCTCTCTCTCTCTGCTGCTCAGCTGTCCACACCATTGCTCACCTGTTTAACTTGGAGCGTTACAATGACAGCCAGCAGGCTGCAGACGGGAGCCTCTCTTCTGTCCTCTCTGACCTGCACCAGGATGGAAGTGACAAGTGGCTAAATCCCATCCACTCCAACAGCACGGTAAGTGTCTGGAGCCTGCTGTGGGAGAAGCGAGACCCTGCCACAAAGCCCAGTGGCATCATTCTGTACTCTTTTGTTCCTTCCAGCTTTAATGCCCCATTCCCACCTCTCACTTCCATGCTTATGTCTGCTTCTGTACAGACTCCAGCATACGTGACTTTCACCAGCATCCCGGGCCTGACTGGTGTGATCATCACCGTGGCACTGATTCTTATGGTTACTTCCTCCATGGAGTTCATTCGCAGGAGCTATTTTGAGGTCTTCTGGTACACACACCACCTCTTCATCATCTACTTTGCTGGCCTCGTCATCCATGGCATTGCGTAAGGCACCACCATGAGCTGCATTCCCCCAGCAAGCTCTAGCCTCCTCCCCCTCTGTTTTGTGCTTCCCTGCTTCCCAGTCAGTCAGCCACCTGCTCCATTCCTACCATCTCCCCTCACTGAACATCTTATTGCCACCCTTGTTCCCAAACAGTCATCTGCCTTGCATACACCCACGTATATACACTCACCCTAGTCCAGAATCTGAATGACACACTTCCCTCGCCTCCTGTTCTTCTCAGCTGTTCCCCAGCTATCACATGCTTCCTTTCTGTGGCTGAGCACTTCCCCTTCCCTTAGTTGGACAGTGAGGTTTCAAGGTCCCTTCTTGCCCTACTTTTATTTTGATGAGAGCAAAGCAAGGAGGCAGGGCTGGGTCAGGAGAGCTGGACTGACACTTCTGTTCTCTCCCAGTGGTCTTGTTCGAGGGCAGACAGAAGAAAGCCTTAAGAAGTACAGTCCTCAGCGCTGTGCACAGTACCTTGTATACAGGGATGGGAGAAGCACACACCACCACTGTAAGGAGCCAGAGTTTGGGGGCATCCCAACAGAGGTAAGGTCCCTCTGTCCCATGTAGACAGTGGCTAACACAATGATAGCCTGAATGAAATAGATCTCTCCCTTCTCCTCCCTGATGGGTATGGAGCATTCCATTGACATGCTCATGGGAGAGATTTTTAACCCTTATTCCTTCCACTTCCTGCTGCTCACCCCTCCCAGTATTGCAAGCTACCTCCTGCTTCCTAGAGAAGCATCTCACGTAGGACCCATCCCAGTCCTGTCATAGCTGCCTGTCTCCATCTGAGTGGGTTTCTAACACTGGCCCTGATGTTCTCATGTCATCCTATACAAGGATATAGCCACAATCTTGGTAGCAAAAGGGACATGTTTCCCAAAACCTATACAGGAGCATTTGATATGGGAACCTCCCTGCAGGGACACCAGGGTCCAGCACCAAAAGACTACCACTCGGGGCCCATCCTCTCACCACTACTCACTCTGTCTCCACAGTCCTGGAAGTGGGTGTTGGCGCCAATCCTCCTCTATGTCTTTGAGCGCATCTTACGTTTTTGGCGTTCTCGACAGAGGGTTGTTATAACAAAGGTAAGCAGCTGGCTATATCCCCTACTCCTCAAGGGTATACCGTTCTTCTGTCCACCCAGCTACAGAGCCAAAGAAATAAGTTTTTCCCCAGCTATGGAAGGGTATCAAATAGTGCAGTGGCTGGGAGTTTGGGCCTATCAGCCTGGCCCAGCAGGAGTGAGAATGAAAGAGGGGGTAGGAGGACTGGTTGTGGGAATGCCTATTCTCTTCTATTCCAGCAGGATGAGGTAGTCCTGGCAGTGGGGAGTTCTCAGCCACTCCAGTCTCAGCCAATAGTGATTAGCAGTGATGTTGCTGTTCTGGGGGGCTGAGATGTGCCAACTGTTTCCTGATATGCTTTTCCCTAGGTTGTCACGCACCCATCTAAAGTACTGGAACTACAGATGCATAAGAAGGGCTTCAACATGGAAGTGGGACAGTACATTTTCATCAACTGTCCTTCTATCTCTCTCCTCGAGTGGCATCCTTTCACCCTGACCTCTGCACCAGAAGACAATTTCTTTTCTGTCCACATCCGGGCAGCAGGGGACTGGACAGAGAATGTAATCGATGCCTTTCAGCAGCAAAAACCAAAAATACCCAGGTAGGCTAGGGTGGCTTTAGGGTCAGGAAGCCAATTGATCTGTACAGTTTTGCTCTGTGGTTCAAGGTTAGGTGGCATCCTCTTGTTACCCAGAGCCTGCCTTATCTTGCCAGGATTGAAGTAGATGGCCCCTTCGGCACAGCCAGTGAAGATGTGTTCCAGTATGAAGTTGCTATGCTGATTGGGGCAGGGATTGGGGTCACACCCTTTGCCTCTGTGCTGAAGTCAATCTGGTATAAGTTCCAACATGCAGACCAGAGTCTCAAAACCAAGAAGGTAACCATTGTGATATGGGAAAGGTAGGCCCTATACTTCATTAGGCCTTCCACCCCGGAAGCCTCTTGTGTATTTCAACCGCATCTCCCCAAGCCAAATACACTCACCAAGCCGAATACATCCTTGAGTATGTAGCTACAGCCTTCCTGGAGAGTGGATCCTTTTTAACACACACACTCCATCCATCTCTGCTCAACTCCACTGCACTATGTACAGCTCTGCTACCCTTAGTAAAACATCTTTCTCTCTCCCTCTCTCTATCATTGGGTCCCAGATTTATTTCTACTGGCTCTGTCGGGATACGGGTGCATTTGCCTGGTTCAATGACCTGCTTGTGTCACTGGAGCAAGAGATGGAGGAATCTGGCAAAGCAGGCTTCCTGAACTACAGACTCTTTCTCACCGGGTGGGACAATAGCATTGTGAGTCACAAACACATGCATGCTCTCATGGTAGGAGTGGGAAAACAGTCTGACACAAGAAGCAATGGGAGAGAATGTTGTGTCAGAGATGTGGGACAGCACCATGTTAAAGACTACTGAGATGAAAATGTGCATCAGACAGGGTTTGTACCTCTAACTCACCCACCAGAGCAGCGGTGATGGGGATCCAGGCCACATGCTATCTGATAGGTTCCAGACACTGACAGGATGTCTGCCTATACTAATAGTCATCTTCTGTCACTCCAGGCTGGCCATGCAGTGCTCAACTTTGACACTGTCACTGACGTGGTGACAGGCCTGAAACAGAAGACCTCCTTTGGAAGACCCATGTGGAGTAATGAATTCTCTGCAGTGGCCACTGCCCACCCCAAGTGAGTGTCCCAGCATCCCGTGACTTGAGCTGGATGATCTAGAAACGTTCCATCGAGCCATCTGGCCTGCTCATACAGTACACCCACCGAGGGGGCTTAGGTGCCACATACTCCACAGCACCCAGCTGACTGGATTGCCTGAAGGACTGCGGTCATTGTACTATTAAGGGCAGTTTTTTCAGCCATGCAGAGCACCTCCACTGACTTCAGGTGGAGTTGTGGCTTGCTCTAAACTTAAGAGACCAGAAATTCTAGGACCTTCAGTTGGACAGTAAAAAAATTTCCTTGAGGGAAACAATGAGAAGTGAAGCTGCCCTGCACAGTCACACTTATTCCCACCTTCCCCACACAACAGTTATCCCCTCTGGACACTGTAACAAGGCCAGCCTCCACTGAGGTACAGGTGATGGGGGAGGGGTATATGTTGGAGAGAAGTTCAGACCTCTGAGTTCCCTTTAGGTTAATTTGTTGCATTAATATTAACCACTGCAATAGAAATGGTTCTGTATTCCTTTTTATGGGCTGCACCATTCACAGGGTCCATTACTAGGAGGGGTACAAGTTCTAAGGCAGCTGAAGCCCCGAGCCAGTGAAGGGCCCTGCCACAGAGCCATAAGTTAAACAAATGATTTAGCCTGGGTGTTAACAGCCTTCTGTTCCACACAGGTCTGTGGTGGGTGTGTTCTTATGTGGGCCAGAAGCTTTAGCAAAGAGTCTGCAGAAGTGTTGCCATCAATACTCCAGGCTGGACCCCAGGAAGGTCAAATTCTACTTCAACAAGGAGAACTTCTAAGCTGAAAGAAAAATTTGCCTAGCTCTGTGGCACCACAGCCTCATTGGGAGCAATCTGCTGGGTCTTCCACCTCCATTTTGAGAGCTGAATTTGGCTGCTGCTAAGGGCACACCAAGCAATGCTACTGGAAATGCTACCATTCAAACTATGCCTTCCCCACTGTTAAATATGAAGGACCTTCAAGATGTGACATGGCATCCCTCCAAGGGACAGGCACTTGAGCTTTATGTACAAATGCTGCCTACTCCGTGTGCGCCCCAATCTCTAGAGGCCCTTTTGGGATAAGAGGAGTGGGCCTTCTCCACTCCTAGAGATTGCTCTGCATTGGTTTTGCATGCAAGGAAGCTGAAATTAACCTTCTAATGGAATCTGTTCCCTTTCAAAGTTGATTGTGGCACCAGCACAAAGGCTCATATTGACTATTAAACTTGATTTAAATGCACTGGGATTCTTGGATGTTGGCCATATGGGAAATGTGCTGGGAGGATGCAGGGTCTTCAGTAACTAATTCAGCACAAGTGGTCAAACACACTCCAATAAGCATTATTGCAAATTATGTCTTTAAAGTTGTAAAAACCTCTCCACCTCTGGCCATAGCATAGGATAAACCCCAACTCCAGAGGCTCATTCTGTCCAATTTAAGAGGCAAACTCTGTCTCCCCATTGGCATTGGGCCTCTGTGCAAGTCTGCAGCACCTGGGATGGATCTTCAATAAATCTCTCCAAACAGTAGCAAGGGAAGTTGTTTTGTATAGTGCTGTTGCTCTTTCACTGACTGGTTCCTTGCTACCAGTTCTCCCACTACGGGAATTCCTATTTGGCGATACTGTGAACAGAACCCTCAAGTGGCCACTGCAGGAAGTCTTCCAGACCTATTCAGTATGACTCACAAGGAAACAAACTGCTCAACTGTGTTCAGGAAAAAGAGGAAAAAATCTGCCAGAAAAGGCAGGCGTCTTAAGTGATATTGCTGTGACAGCAGATCAGCAACGGACAGCAATCGGATATGGAGCCTGCATCTCTCAGGTCACCCATTAAGGCTGGAGGGGCTGAAAGATGAGCTTCCTTCTCAGCTGACAGGAGATCTGGCAGGGCAGGGCTGCACCACACCACACTGGAAGAACCTGAGGTAAGGCAGCTCTAGGGCTGCCAACACACAGCAGTTCAGTTCATTAAAAGGAAGGCTCAAGGCTACAAACACTTCAATCTGGCAGCTGCAGATCACAGCTCCCCTCAAGCATCTGCTGAGTCCCATCAGTCAAATGGTCTCATCTGCCTGCTATCACACAAGACCATTATCTTTAAATGGAAGCTACTACAAAGCATTTGAAGCAATTTTTCTCTTCCCATTGCTGGGTGAGCTATGAGGTTTTTAAACGGAGGGAAAGTGATGCAGACATGAGCATCTTACAAAGGACAGGTTGGGGCCCAGTAACATGACCTGAGCGGCTGTTCTTATGGAAAAGGATTTATTTACCTTGTGCCCCTGTAGTTTCCTTCTCCAGAGGAAACATGTATGAAGCTCAATAGCTTAGGATGCAAACCAGGCACTTCATCACACTGTATTGGCCAGGCCAGCCTTAGCACCCCTTGCCACACACTCCCAGATGAGAATTTCAGTGCACTGACCTCCTCTGCTTTCCTGAGTTTCTCCTAGCAAATGTAGCCAGTAATGACAAAATTGCCCTTGGGCTCAGAAAACAGCAGCAGACTCTCCCCGGGGGCTATCTCCTCCCTCCACACTGTTTAGCACCTTCGTCCATGGTTCATAGATCATGGCTAAAACAGAGCTCAGTGACTTGTGGGGAGTGAAACAAGCGATGATCAACCCTAGAGCCACAACAGGCTACCAAAGACGACAGAACTTGCTGAACACATCAGACTGAGGGCCCCATGGAGCTCTGCCAGTTCTATTAGTGTTATCTGAGGCAGTTTCAGAGTCCAGGGGGTAACATGTAAGCATGGGTGACTGGTACCTCCTGAGTCAGGGGGGGCATTTGTTCCCCTCAGTGGCACTTCCGAGTTGGCACAATCGGCCGTGGGGGAACCCCCCTCTCCCTCCCCCGGTCAGTGCGATTGGCCATGGGCTGACCACGAGGATCGCTTCTCTGGCACCCCCACTCCCCAGCTGGTGCTCTCGGGGGGGGCGGGGGGACGACACGAGCGCTCTTGGGGTCCATGTGCAACCCTGTGCACCCCCCACACGTTGCCACTACATGCGAGGCACCGGTGGTTGCCATAATGTTCTCTAGCAGTCACTGATCCTGCCTGGCTCTTGCCGTCACCTCCCAAGGTCCCAACCTGGTTTCTTTCCTTTCATGTCTTGTAAAACATGATGGAGGGAAGCTGCCCTCAGAAGCTGAGAGCACCTAGGTGCTCTCTTGGTTTGCTCCTGCTGTGCCCTATGAGCCTTAAGGGCTAAAAGTCTTAAGGCCTAAATTTGTGGCCCTTTTGCTCCTACAGCCACACTCATGTCTTGCAGATCTCATGAACCAAACAGCTCTGAACCTATCAGTTTTGATCAACACTGTCTAGTATCTGGTCTCACCAACTTCTTGATTTTATCTGGTCTCTATCCACTCGGGCTGCTGGGGTTCCAGGTCCCAATTCTTCCTCTTGTGCAATGGGTTCCCTAGCCCAGTCTTGTTTCTGCCCCTCATGGCTGTCTCCTGCCCTGGATTCATCCCCTTGAATTTCCTGTCCAGCCCTCTTTGAGCTGAAATCTTATGTCCCCACCCTCTAGGGCTTTGGGTACCACTCCCTGGTGGCTGCAAATCTTTCCCCTCCAAGACTGGGGCTCCCTGCTCCTTTTCATAGATTCATAGATGTTAGAGTCGGAAGGAACCCCAACAGATCATCGAGTCCGACCCCCTGCATAGGCAGGAAAAAGCGCAGGGGCCCGATGACAGATGCCTATCTAACCTCCTCTTGAAGACCCCCAGGGTAGGGGAGAGCACCACCTCCCTTGGGAGCCCATTCCAGACTTTGGCCACTCTAACGGTGAAGAAGTTCTTCCTAATGTCCAGTCTATATCTGCTCTCTGCTAGCTTGTGGCCATTATTTCTTGTAACCCCCGGGGGCGCCTTGGTGAGTAAAGCCTCACCAATTCCCTTCTGTGGCCCCATGATGAACTTGTAGGTAGCCACAAGGTTGCCTCTCAACCTTCTCTTGCGGAGGCTGAAGAGGTCCAGGTGCCCTAGCCTCCCCTCATAGGGCTTGGCCTGCAAGCCCTTAACCATATGAGTGGCCCTTTTCTGGACCCTCTCCAGGTTATCCACATCCCTCTTGAAGTGCGGCACCCAAAATTGCACGCAGTATTCCATATTTTCTGCCTTTCCTCTCTCCCTTTCTCTTGCTATAGGTACCCTTGCTCCGGGTTACCACCTTCTCCAGCTCCAGCAGCTTGTCCCTTGTTTGGACAAGCTCAAATCTCACATGCCTCCCTCAAACATCTCTTTAAGTGAGACTTATCTCAGAACAAATCCACAAAAAGGGGAAAAAAGGTACACTGTCCCTTTAACCCTGGTAGCCTTGCTCTGGCAGCCTCTAGGCTAAGAAACAAGCTACTTCTCCCCACCACCCCACTTTTCTCTGAGGCTTTGTCCTGTGTTACTTTCTCTCAGTCACCTCCTTTTTATGGGAGGGGAAATAAAAGTCCTGTCGCAGCCTGCCTTCCCAGGTGTTGTCCTCCCCCTCTACCCCACCTTCCAGCTCACCCTTATTAACACCTGGGCTGCAGGCCTCACTAGTCCCAGCTGTAAGCCCTTCCAGCAGTTAACTAATTGACCCTCTCTCTCTCTCTGGTGGAATGCTTTGGGTATCTGTTTTCTCCAGGTCTAACCCCTTAATGGCCTGTTGGTTTATGCAGCAGCTATTTTGGCAGGCCTGCCTTTGTTTTTTGCATTCTTTCTTTGCATAAAAAGGAGCCCCTTGCTTTGTTACACCATGTACTCAAATCTTCCCTCCCAGTTTATTTTAAACACTGTAAAATATACACAGAAACCACAAATGAACATTGTGGGGGGAGTTACATAAGGCAGGGAAAAGGGGGAGCCCCTCTACCATACGGTGCCAGGTCAGACAGTGATGGGGAAGCTGCCACATGGATTGCCTTCTCTGTCTCAGAGGTTCTGAAGCCAGCCACTGCGTGCCTTATAAACCCTGCAAGAATAACAGAGGGAGTGAAATCTTGCTCTAAGGGAAGGACAAGAGAGGCCAGCAGGAACTGGACAAGAACAGCATCATCAACACCCCTCCCAGGTACACCTGAGCCACACAACAAGAGCAGGGACACAAGGTGTCTCAGGAGGGCCCTGCTCACAGGAGCACACTGCACCAAGCCCTGACACCACCCATGTCATGTGGGATTCTCCAGAGAACTATGGTAGCATGACCTGCTCTTTCACTGCCTTCTGGCACTGTAACCTCCCACAAAGCACTACAGGACAGGGCACACCACATGGGCCTCCTGCCCAACAGCTGCGGGACCACTGGGAGACTCCTGAGTTGGGGCCACTGGGTGGGTACTGAGTTGCTTTTCTCCCCCCCTCAATGGACAAAGGCCTATAAAAACCTTCCTGAGCCAGGCCAACAGGTGCCCAATCCTCAGAATTGCTGTGGCCAAAGCGAGGGCAACTTCCCTAGGGAAGCTGAGGCAGGTGAAGAGCACTAGGAAGTACATGAGAGCCAGCACATACAGCACTTGGGCAGCACCTTTTGACTCCATGACATACTGCTAGGATTTACTGAGTGACCACAGGGGCAAGAAACTATCACTAGGGTTTATGCAAGGGAAGGCTAAGATATGAGCCATGCCCAGGCCACACAGGGAGTCCACACCAGAGGCAATGTGAGGCCATGCCCTGCCTTACTCTTGTTTGTGGAGGAAACAGGCAGGTTTACTGAGGAAGCTGCAAGGCCAGGGCTGTGTTAATGGAAGCGCTAGACGGAACTGGTTCAGCTTGTACCCATGTGGAACAGACACCACTGGAGATGTGCCAGGGAAAGAAGGTATGCTCCCCTAACACTACTGGGTCTATGAAGCATTCACTCCAGCTAACCCACTCCCCTTCATTCTGCCTACCGCACCTTGCCAGCTCCTTTGTTCATTCAACCTGTTCCTCACAGTGCTGCAGTCTCCCCTCAAACTCACCTGTCACGGTGCCCCAGTGGATTTCTGAATCTGCTCTTTTAGAATAAGGATGCTCTGCCTTTGCTCTGGGGGCAGCATGGCAATCTGGTCTGCAGTCAGCTGGAGGACTTGCATGATCAGGGCAGCCTGTGGGTAAAGAGGGGAGGAGCAATCAGCACCTGCAGCAGCAATTGCCCAGAAAGGAGGAGCAGCAAAGAGGAGAGAAGAGACAGCAGGTCCCACAGGGACAGGGAGGGGGAGACAGTACAAAGACATGACAGTACAAAGGCACATGGATAACAGGAAGCAGAAGCAGCACAATTTGCTCTGTACTAAAAGGACTGGCCCACTGACCACAGGAAAAGCTTCACAGGCTCCTGGGCTTTCTCCTGAAAAGCAGCAGGATAATTAAGTACCCATTATGAGTTGGCACCAACCCAGAAACTCTTGCACTGGGGACTGGTGCAGCACCAGGGGAAGAGGGTACACAGGGTTTCATTTTCATTGCAGTGGCATTTCCTGCCAGCAGCCCAGCCCCTTTCCATTTCACATACTCACCTTCTCATGATCTTGTGGGGTGACCTGGTTTTGCCCAGGGCTAAAGCCTCCTGGTTGACCTGCTCCTTGAACCCCTGCCCCTGGCAGGCCTCCACCTTGCATGCCTGCCCCTGGCATGTTGGGAACCTGTGGGGACAGAGATGGGATAGGATGGTCTCCCTTGCTGTACAAAGAGAGCCTGCAGTTGGCTATGTAAATAAAGAATTATGCTTCTCTAAGGACAAAGTAGGTAACAAGAAAGAGACTGATTGAAGTACCCAAGCTAGATCCGAGTACCCCGAGTAACAAACTCTGTAGACGCTGGGACACGTCAACTCTGGGAACAAAGGCTGCAGGACTAGGCAAGGCTGGCCGGCCTTGGGCTCTCTGGATTTCTGGTTCTGTGCTGTATTATGAGATATGACTCTACCTCACCATGGGGCTGTGAAGAGAAGGGCAGGTGAGGCCTAAGGTCCCTGAGACATTTCCTGTTGTAGCAGTGAATGGCCTAGGACAGGGGTAGCCAATTATTTGGGCTGAAGGGCCACTTAGGGAGTTTTGGTGAGCTCTCATGGACCAGGTCGGCGCACACCCCCCCCAACAGCTCACCAAAACTCCCTAAGTGGTACTGCCTTGCAGTCAGGTGGATGGGGAGCAGCATCTGAGAGCAGGACAGGAGCTGGGATCGCAGGGCCAGGGCCCAGGGCAGAGCTGCAATCTGCTCCCCTGCACATCCCTGCAACAGGTGCCAGTTCCGCAGGCAGGGGCATGCGGGGAGTGGACTGCCACTCTGCCCTGGGCCCTGTGCTGTCATTGCTGAGCAATCCCAGGGTATCCATGAAGACCAGCCAGGACTTGCAAGGGTAAGACATATAGCCAGGCAGATGGGATGGGGCCATGGGCAGGCGGGGAGCAGCATTCGGGAGTAGGACAGGCAGGCAGGGCTGGGATCACAGGGCCCAGGGCAGAGCTATGATCCGCTCCCTGCACATCTCTGCCTGCGGAAAAAGCACCAGTTGCAGGGATGTGTGGGCTCTATCCTGGGCCTGGGTCCAGCGCTGTCACTACCCTGTGATCCTGGTCCCACCAACCTGTCCCACTCCAGACACTGCTCCCCTGTCTGCCACATGTGGGTCCTGGACCGATCTCTATGGGGACCCCAGCCGTCTGCTCTATCCAGCGATGGTAAAGACTGGCAGCAGCAGCCAGGAGCCAGTGCCTCTGGGGCTGCTGGGAAGTGAGTCCAGGCATCACACCACCCCAGCCCTGCTGTCTGCCTGCAGGTGGCAGGACTAGACCCATGTGTGCCCAGGCTACCCCGCACAGGATGGGCAAAACCCTTCGGTGGGCTGGATCCAGCCAGCAGACTGCATTTTGCCCAACCCTGGCCTAGAACCTGAAAAGCATGAGAGAGCCAGGCTGCTGCCCTGTGGCGCTACTCCCTACTGTATTGACCTGGCTTAATCCGTAGCTCCTTCAGGTGAGGACAATTCTGGAATCACAGCAGGGGCAGAGTTTGATAAACAAAAGGGATACCACGCCCCCTGCATGGGGATCAAGTCTCGCAGTGGGGAGCATAAGTACCAGGAAAATGCAAGGTTCAGTGCAACAGAGAATTGCCACCTGCCTTCTCCCAGTTTCAGAGCCTGTTATCCTGACACAAGCCCAGTTAGGGGACACATGCTGGTTTTACACATTATAGCCATGGTGTGGGTCAGCAATCCCAGGCTGTTGCAGCCTCCAGGGATCAAGACCATGCTGTTAACAGCCCAGTGTAGCTGGCAGGGCTGGTGCTGACCTAGGCTCCATTAGTGGTGGGGGGATATCATCCATTCCCAGGTGTTCACTGGTTAGCAGAGCGGGTGTTAGCTATCAAAGAACCAGCATCAATCAGAGCCTGGCACCATGCGTTTATCATTATCCATAGAATTAGTACCTGTCTAGGCCCCTGTGGGACATTCGCTCCCATGTTCAGTGGTCCAGGGCCTTGAATGCCACCAGGCATTGGGCCCCTTGAATTGGGGCCAGGGCCCCTGGGTTCCATTGCTCTGGGCTCCATGCCTCTGGCCTCCATGCCCCTTGGTTCCATGACTCGAGGCTCCATCCCTCTTGTATCCATGCCCCTGGGCTCCATTCCCCGAGGTTCCATGCCCCTGGGCTCCATGCCCCGGGGATCTCTTCCA